TTACTCACAAAGTTTTTAATGGGGGTTGTTGACAGTAAGAAAAATAATACATATCACCTGATGTATTCTGTAACAGCAGAGAACATGTAGTGGCAGAAAAAAAACAATGAATAACCACATTTTCCAAAATGCAATAAAAAAGTCAAATCTGTGATTTGCTCATTTCCTTGAACCTTTATTTAACTGATAGAATTACAAAGAAATGTTTTTTCAGTGTTGTAGATTAAATGCATTTTGTAAATATAAATACATTTGATGCCTGCAGAAAAAGTTGAGACAGAGACTAAATAAGACTGAAAAGTGTATAGGATATTCCAGTAACACCATTCTGGAAGATTCCAAAATTAGCAGGTATCTGGTAACTGGTGAGGATATCCTGACTGGGTATAAAAGAACCATCCACCAAATCAGTCTCTGCAGCCAAGGTTGATTGTGGCTCACCACTTTGTGCCAAACATCATGAGAGTTCAAACGTCAGTCAGTTCGAAAAGAATAATTCTCAATGCAAGATTGGGTCTTTCACCATCTACAGTCTAGAATACTGTGAAAAGATTCAGGGAATCTGGGGAAATCTCAGTGTGTAAAGGCAAGGGTAAAAACCACTGGTGATTGATTATATGTGACCTTCGAGTCCTCAGGAGGCACTGGATGAGAGACCATCATGCTACTATGATGACTATAGCCTCATGGGTTAAGAAGGACTTTGGAAAACCACTGTCACTTAACAGTCTGCCGCTATATCCAGAAATGCAGCCTAAAACTCTATTACACAAGGAGGAAGTCATACATCAATTCTGTGCAGAAAGGCCACCGAGTTCTCTGGGCCTGAGCTCATCTTGGATGGACCGACAGGCAGTGAAAATGTGTCCTGTGCTCTGATGAGTTGATGTTTCAGCTTGTTTTCAGGAAAAAACAGATGTTGGGTTCTCTGCACCAAAAATGAAAAAGACCACCCAGACTGTTATCAGCGAAGGGTCAAAAGCCAGCATCTGTGATGGTGTGGGGGCACATCAGTGCCCAAGGCATGGGTGAACTGCAGTTATGTGTGAAGGTACAATCAACACAGAGGTGTATATTGGGACTGTAGAGAGACAAAATGCCATCAAGGCAATATCTTTTATCAAGAAGTCCATGGATATTTCAGTAGGAAGATGCCAGGCTTCATTCTGCACGTGCTACAACACCATGGCTTCATAAACACAGGGCATGTGCTTGACTGGCATGCCTGCAGTCCACATCTGTCTCCTGTTGAAAATCTATGGCGAATCACGAAGAGGAGAATCTGACAATGGTGACCACGGACTGACAAGCAGCTAAAATCTTGTATCCAGCAAGAATGGGCCCAAACTGCAGCAACTAGTATCCTCATTCACAGATGATTAAAAAATGTCATTAAAAGGGAAGGTGATGTAATACAGTGATAGACATGACTTTTCTTGAGTGGGTTGCAGGGGTCTAATCCTAAATGTGTTTATATTTATAAAATGCAATTAAGGTGGTCAGTGAAAACTGTCACTGAAAACCTTTTCTTTGGAATTTTGTCAGTTAAATAAAGGTTCAAGCAAATTAACAAATCACAGATTCGAGTTTTTATTGCGTTTGGGAAATCTCCCAGCTCTTCTGGAAATTGGGATTGTAATGTTAATAGCAGACTTTGGGTGCACAGACACAAAAAAACCTTTGCTGCTTACATTTGTTGTTGGTTTTGGGCTTTAAAATAATTTAATGGAAATAATAAAAAGACAAAATAACACCAGTGCTAGGCTTTAATGGGGTGTGTGAAGTCTGTTATACAGTGTGTCTGGGCCCATGTGGACCATTACGATAAACACCTCTAGCTGATTGCTGCACTCTACTTCCATCTGCACTTCACTCAGCTCTCTGTCACCTCTTTTGCTTTGTTACTTTGTGTTTGATTCATCACTGTACATTATTTCAGTCAACATCTCTTGTCAAGTGTACCGAACTGTAGCGCCTGAAGCATCTTTTTCATATGTAAACAACAGCAGCTGTCACAATGTGTGATGGATTAGCCCCTGAAACACCCAGAACGCAACACAGTCATGTAGCCTTCAGACAGACAGAGTACTTTAAGGTACAATGCATATGGTATACTTTAATACTCTGTTGGAGGCATATGTGGAATGCAAATAACCAGTTTCTAAAGGGTCTTTTTGCCCACATCAATTTAAATATGGTATGTATATACTGTATCTTCTTGACCTTGGAAACAGTAGTCTGACAACTCAACTCAGCTCAGCTCAATTTGTATAGCGCTTTACCACAGCCACAGCTGTACATACTGTACAGTCTAAAATTGTAACAGCATAACTAAAAATAAAAACAATAAAACATACACTATAGCACTACAGACAGTCTCATTCCTGGCCAAATGCCAATGAGTACAAATAGGTTTTCAAATAAGACTTAAAAATGGACAACGAGGGGCCTGCCTAATATAAAGAGGCAAAGCATTCCATAAATTTGGACCCACCACAGCGAAAGCTCTATCCCCCCTAGTTTTCCGCCTGGCCCTTGGTGCCTCCAGAAGAAGCTGATCAGCTGATCTAAGGCACCCCGATGGATTATACGGACGTAAAAGTTCCACAACATAAGATGGTGCAAGCCCATTCAAGGACTTATAAACAAATAAAAGAATCTTAAAATGAACTCTAAAATGCACAGGAAGCCAGTGAAGAGATGCCAGGACTGGGGTTATGTGGTCCCTCTTATGACCCCCTACCAATAACTGAGCGGCAGCATTCTGAGCCCTCTGGAGGCGGGCAAGACACGATTGACTGACTCCAGCGTACAATGCATTACAGTAATCCATGCGCGATGTAACAAGCGCATGGATCACCATCTCAAAATGCTGCTGCAACAAAAGGGGCTTTACTTTCACTAACTGCCTAAGATAAAAAAAAAAGCCAGATTTTATGTCCGCATTTATCTGGCTTTCCATTTTCAAGCTGGAGTCTATTTTAACATCTAAGTCTGTGATCACCGGTTGCATATACTGCCCCAAGAAACCAAAATCTACCGGGGGAAGATCGCCAGATGTATTCGGGCCAAACACTATAACCTAAGTTTTAGCATCATTTAACTTAGAGACATCCAGCCTTTAATATCAGCAAGACACGATAAAAGCGGTTGAATCGAGTAGGTGTCCTTCTTAAGTTAGGGAGTGTAAGGAGTCCTACAGGAGGAAGTTGGAAGGCAAACTCCAAAAAAACAACATGAGGGAAGTGTGGCTTTGGATGAAGGAGATCATTGGAACTGGGGGGGAGAGGTAGACAGTCTGCTGGAGGCACAGAGAGGGCTAACGAGTTCAATACCTATTTTAATAGGTTTAGCTCTCAGCCTTCCCCTGTCGCCCCAGGTTGCTGAAGGTGTGTGCCAGACAGCTGTCCTCTGTTCTCCAACACCTCTACAACCTGAGCCTAAGTCTGGAGAAGGTGCCACTTCTCTGGAAGACTTCTTGTTTGGTTCCGGTACCCAAGAAACCAGTACCATTGGGCTTTGGGGACTATCGTCCAATTGCTCTCACATCGCATGTGATGAAGGTGCTGGAGAGGCTGGTGTTGGTCCATCTTGAGTCGCAGGTGAGATCGTCTCTTGATGCTCTGCAGTTGTATCTTGAGCTTATATAAACCTTCAATATAACACAAAATAAATGTTTTAAACAAAGTTTTTATGTGTGACAGAACATAGAGCAATTTACAGCAGATATTCACAAACAGAGAGCTCTCACAGTGCGCACACACAGACAGACAGACAGAGACAGAGACAGCCACAGGCTGTAAGGAAGGAATAAGTTTTATACTCACCTCAACAGTAACCGGTCTGAAAACATAAAACAACAACAAACAACAACAAGATACATTCTCCCTCCTCTGTCCCTAACTTCCAACACACATTTATTTACATCAAGTTATTTACATCAGTATTAGTAATGATGTTAGTGTTAGTAATTGCCGTAGGCTTTTCCCAGTCACCTGTCAGGATAAAATCAAATTATTTGGTTCCCCTTCACAAATTCTTTAAGGACAGTCAAAATGGGAGCATTAAGCTTAAAACTTAAAAGTCACCCATCTTACTCCTACCTACGTAGACAACGCCAAAGTTTGTCGTGGCAAGAGTGAGATACCAACTAAATTAATTCAGACAAACCA